TTAATATGCTTTGGTTATTACAAAATGCTTGGAGTGATTTCCATCATCCCCAACCAATACAACCAATTGTCAGGAATGGAGGGAGCTGTACTACAAAACATCTGTTGGAGGAAGTCTAGTTTAATTAACAGATTCATTCCACAGTCAAACTTCAACTTAGAGGTGTAATTGACAATGGGATCCTGCCCCACCACCACCACCTGCAGTGGGACTAACTCCCAGGTAAATGGCTAAAGGACTGCAGCCTTATGTTTTTCTTTGTTTATCCAGTATTGACTGCACTATGCTTGTGCTTCATTATGTAAAATACTTTGGCCAAGAAGAAATAAAACAGTAATAAAGGAATAGTTCAGTTAGATAAGAAATGCACATATTGAAATTAAAGTCAGGCTTAGATATGGTTTGCACATGCATGACCACAATTTGATAATTGCAACATCATGAAAACTTTTGTCTAACAGATTGGTGGTCCTGTGGCAGTTGGTGGCTTCTGTGTCAGTGGACCAATGAACCTTTAAAGAAGCTATCCAAAGTGCTAAAGCCAAAATAAGTCCATTGTCTTGCATAGCTGTTCGAAATTTTGGACTAAACCCTGGAGTGGATTTACTTCCCTGCTGACATGGGATCCACAAGCCACCACTGTTTTCATCTAAACCATCAAACACTGCAGATCAAATTTCCACATACCACCCAGTGTGATTTCACTACATGTTGTCCAATGGAGTTGGTTTACAAATCCAGAGAGAAGCTATTAATATTGTTGCTGTTTTTACACCCTTACCTAGGAGGAGGTCTGTGCGGCTTATTGGAATGTACAGTTCCTCATAGACACACATAGGATTGCATTGCAATTTGAATTTTTATTAAATGTAGTTAGCTTGCAATTGTCTGATCCTCCTGTACCAGAGAGAAATATTCCAAATGGAGTCCTAGAGCTCAAGTTTCTCTAAAAGGCATAGGGAAGGGGTGGCTATCCAGAGATTTCCCATCAGCCTTTGCTAGCATAGCCAATGGCAAGGGATGATGGGAGTTTCAGCCCAATTATGTCCAGAGAGTCACCTTTCCATGTTCTATAAAATCTTGGGTCTACCTGCCCAGTTTCTAGGATGGCCATTGGCCTCAGTTTAAGGTTTCTAAGCACCTATTTAACATAGATTATTATTTCCAGTTCAATGTGCAAAAAGCTAGTCCCAACCAAGATGCAGGAACCGGACGATAAATCAGTATCACCAAAACATAAAGCAAACCACAAACCAAGATAAATTAAAATGGAAACAGCTATAAACCAATAAGTGACAACCTAGCCCTTACACCCATTCAGTATATGTTAGCCTGAAGGCATTTTCACAATGTTAAATACAGAAATGTTTCCCTTAGCACTCCAGTGCTGCTCCTAGTTATTGAACATGATATAATGCAACAGCTGGTCTGTTTTTAACTACCCTCCACTAATTGTTTTTAACAAACTTTGAAAATGAACGATGCTCCAACATCCCTCCTTCCTCAAAGTATTATTTGTAACGGTACCCTGTGCCTTGATACCATGAGTTACAGCTGTCACAGAGAGCTCTTGCTCCATTTTACTATCAAAATCAACAAACACAACAAATCCAGAACCAACCCTACCATTAAGTAGAATGGCACAGCTGCCTCAGGCAACAGAGTCTTCATGTTATAAAAGGGCAGCAAAGAAAGTGATATGTATCTATTTGGTTATTAATATATTTTTAAATTTAGCTGGCTTTGGATTGTTGTTGTTATGTATCTTCAAGTTGTTTCTGATTTATGATGACCCCAAGGCAAACCTATCACAGGATTTTCTTGGCAAGATTTGGATACTATGCACCCTAACTGGGTGGAAAGGCTGTCTTCTGTGCTGACTCAGGCAGGAAAATGTCTTGGGACAGGTTCATGAAATCGCCTCAGCAGCTGATCTTTTTTTCTCTGTGATCCAGAAATAGTCAAGGGCAATTCTTCTTAAAACAGTAACCTCCCTGCCTGTATATGACTTCAGCAAACTTCCTACCCAGTTAAGGTTTTGAATCATTCATCCAAAGAGACTGTGTTGATGGGTCTAGTTCATTGCATACATGCAATAGCTCTTGAGCACTATAAAGCCACCTCCTTCTAAGGTCAGCCCTGCCCTTAGGCAAAATGAGGAGTTTTGCCATTAGCAAAGTGAAGTAAGGAAGCAGGTGCTGGGAGATAAAAGAAAAGTTCTGGAAGAGAGAGAGCTGTGTGCCACATAGCATAGTCTGTACCTCTTAACCTAGTTTACTGCTTACAGGTATGAGTAGAAGACATTGTCCCATAATATGTTTTGGAAGAAAGATTTCAATGCCAGTACATTCCCTCAGGAAGCAAAATATCTTGGGCCAGCCCTGGAAGCCTTACTTTTTCCTCCACAGCTGTTGAATTCCTTTCACATTTGATGGTTACATAATCCTAAAACTAGATATGTTCAACAACCTAAGAAATGCAGATGACACCATATACTAAGCAGAAAACATCACAGGCTTGGAACAATCACTAAAGAAAATCAAAGAAGAAGGAGGATTTACATAAATTCAACATAGACAATGAAGAAATCAAAATAGTTAAAGATTTCCCATACCTTGGATCAAACATGGATGAGAATGGAGACTGCAGTCAAGAAATCAGAAGAAGATAAGGAATGGGAAGGGCAGCTATGAAAGAACTAGACAAAATCCTTAAGTGTAAAGATATGCAGCTGAACACTAAAGTTAGAATTGTTCAAGCCATTGTATTCCCTGTTACCATGAACAGCTGTGAGAGCTGGACAGTGAAGAAAGCATATAGAAAGGAAATTAATTCATTTGAGATGTGGTCCTGGAGAAGATTGCAGAGGATACCATGGACAGCTAAAAAGGCAAACAAATGGGTCCTAGAACAAATAAATCCAGAACTTTCCCTGGAAGCCAAGATGACTAAACTGAGGCTGTCATACTTCAACCACATAATGAGAAGGCATGATTCATTTGGAAAGACAATGATGTTGGGGAAGGTGGAGTGACGTAGAAAGAAAGACTGCACGCCAGATGGATAGACTCAATCAGGGAGACTATGGGGGGAAGCAGACAGGCGGCCATGGGCCACCCCGGGAAGCTGCGCTGTGGGGCCAAGGTATCCCCACACCTTGGCCTCATGGCACAGCTTCGCCACCCCTGAAAGGAGCGCTAAATTGGTGCTCCTTTCACAAGTCACCGAAGGTGCGTCGCAAAAGGCTGTGGTGCACCTTCGGTGACTCTTCCACCGCAGCGTCTGCGAACACTGCGGCGGGAGGTCCTCCTCGGAGCGCCAGCCATGCGGAGGGCTGGCTGCTCCAAGGACGACCTGGTGAAGGGATTGGGGCGCCGATCGTGCGGCTGCCCCTCCCCTTCCCTGCCCCCAAAATGGCTCAATTATCCGTCTGCTTAGGGGGTATGTGCCTGGGCCTGCAGGACCTGAGCAGAGAGGTAGAGGATAGAGCAGCTTGAATATGTCTCATTCACAGGATAGCCATGAGTCAAGATTAATTCAAAAGCAGCTAATAATAACAACATATATTCTGGATAGAGCATATTATCTGTATGGAGGGCATAATGAGCAAAATTTGGCAATTTAGGTAATCAAATCCCTGCTCAGCTAGGAAGATCACTTAAATTCAATGCCCACTTCCCAGGGAGGCAGTCCCACCCAAGTTACTGTGCATAGGACTGAGTCAAATGTGTGTCTATGCACAAATCACTGAGCAATTTTACAGGGTTGTTGTAACTTAGCTCTTGATTACTGTAGGACTTCAAGTGCAACTAACTTTCTCTAAACTGGATTCTAAAGTAAACACTAAAAGTAGTTCCAAATCTACTTTCTTATAAAGAAGTTCCCAATTCATTGAAGGGACAGTTCTGAGCACACATGCATCAATCCAGACCACATCTGTGTCTGAGGCTTTGTTAGAAGGGTTTATAAGATAGCCCTGGAGCTGAAGTTATGTGTATAGAAATCTTTTACCAGAATGAATTAATATTGACAGTATTGTGTGTCCTTTTCTTGCATGTTTGTATGTTCAGAATCCTTCTATTTATAGACTTAGCTTTTCAACCCATATTCTGTTCCGGATAATAAAAGAATCCAAGGATGTTCTCTATGTGGCTACAGGCCTGAAAAATGTATTTGGAAAATTGTACACAAAGCTTTCATTGACTCCCATGGAAACAAGGGAACATGTGAAAGGGCAAAACTAGAACTTTGGCCTGCCACTCCCACAGGACTGTGAAAGAAAGGGCAGTGAAGATATGGTGGGGAGAGAGAAAGACATTAAAGCCAGCTAAAACCAATCTTCAAATCTCATCAGAATAGCTGAGCATCAAAGCTAATTTCTGTGTCAGTGCTCAAGCCTACCAGTTGCCTTAAACATGCCCCTCCCTGCCTATCTCTTTTTCTGGTATAAATACCCATTCATGCATTCCCATACAGACAAATGACACCAAGTGGCATTTAATTCAGCAAAATGTTTCCATGCACATAGGAATCTGCCCTGTTGGGATGGCTGTCCATTTTCATATCAGTAGGGCAATGAAACGAGTATTGTTGTTGTTGTGTGCCCTCAAGTCATTCCCAACTTATGGCGACCCTAAGGTGAACCTATCATGGAATTTACTTGGCAAGTTTCTTCAGAGGGGGTTTGCCATGCCATCCTCTGAGACTGAGAGAGTGTGACTTACCAAAGGTCACCCAATGGATTTTCATGGCTGAGCCAGGATTTAAACTGGTCTCCAGAGTTACAGTCCAGTGTTCAATCCACTGTTAGCCTATACTTCAAAGAAGACACTTAAGATGCTGTGCTCTTGTTGTTGTATGCCTTCAAGTCATTTCTAACTTATGGTGACCCTAAAGCGAACCTACCATGGGGTTTTCTTGGCATATTTTTTTCAGATGAGGTTGCTTTCCCCTGAGGCTGAGAGCATGTGACTTGCCCAAGGTCACCTAGTGGGTTTCATGGTCAAGCTGGGAATCGAACCCTGGTCTCCACAGTCATAGTCCAACATTCAAACCACTATGCCACACTGGCTGTTATAGTTCTAATTAAATTCAGCACCTTGGATAATTTACTTAAAAGTTTAGATTAAAATTCACAACAGATTCACCGTCCTACCAATTTGGAAACTACCAGCCACCATTGCTGCCCTGCCTGGTCAGGATCATGGCTATATGACCAGCGCAATTAATTCTTCACTGCCTATGTCAAAAGTCAAAATTCCCTTCCTCTTGCCAGTTCCATATGGCCATTGAATCTTACTGTTGTTGCAAGATGTCAGCATTCTCCACCACGTGAGGCAACTATTTGCCTGTTCTTATTCTGTTCTATTTGATGTATATTCTGCCTTTCTCCCAAAACTGAGACTTAATGCAACTCACAGGAAGATTAAAATCAGATTTGTTAAAAAAGCAAATTAAACAGTTTCAGATAAAAACAAAGTTACAATGTTAAAGCTCAATTAAGCAAATTACAGGATTGAAACACAATTGAATTTAAACAGCAGTTTTGGCTAAAGAGGAATGGGGCAGACTGTTTGGGACACCATGCTCTGTCCTTCAACAGAGCCATAGGTTTGTCTACCAAAATCAACTTTTACCTTACCCATTCAAAGTAATGTCTGCATAGAAGACATAAGTTGTGTTCATAGGATTTCATGCTACGTGGTTAGTTACACACACACGCAGACAAATACTATCTGATACCTGAGGTTGCTGCCTTAGGTGGTTGTAGACCATGATCCATCCAACCCATTACCGTCAATGCTGGCTACAATTTTCAGACTGTTGAGTAGAAACCTATCACCTATTACCAGATTTTTCCCAGTTTTTTTTTATTTATTTTAAGACTGAAAATGCTATTGTCACTTCTGCACACAAAGCCTTCTACCTGTAAACTATTATCCCCACCCATGAGATACATTCTCCTTCCAGATGTATAGTTATCCCTTTACTGCAATGTGAAGTTTCATCATATAGGTGGTTGCTTCTGAATGTTAGAAGGTGGTACAATGGGAATTGTGATCAGATAAAACATTGGTTCAAATGTCACAGATTCACCAGGTGAGCCATTATTTTGTCACCTTTATGGTACTCATGCATATATGTGCTGTGGGGCAATAACAGTGGTCTAATGTACAAGGTTGCACTGAGGATTACTTGGATTGCATATGTGAAGTGATTTGCATATTTGAAATGTATTCATCCACACATTGTAACTCAGTTGTGCCCCACACATAAAAGCCAAGCAAATAGAGTTGGGATCATGATCCTACCCAGAAGCCAGAGCACTTTTTAAATATGTCTCTTTCTTGAGGAATTTCTAATTGGCTTGCATGAAGGACTTTGCATGAAGGATCACCTGCTTAACATTAGCAATTTTGACTGTTTCAATAGCAAACTATATTCTGACAAACAGTGGCATTCAGACCTTGGAAAAACTGGTGAGCAGTGACTACTGATGGTTCCAGTGTCAGTGAAGCAGTGAATCTAACTCTCGGTTTTATTCAGAGCTTTAAATTAACAATCCTACCCATTTTGGAGATTCAACCTCTTAGGTCCCTCCTTTGAAGTTCAAAATAAATGCCAGAGTGGACTTACTGCCCAACAGACATGTGAGACACCAGCCATGACTGCTTTGGGAGACTAGAGTGACCATCCTGAACTGGGGATTCTGGGAGATACCATCTAAAATATAACTTTTCTAGATCATTTGTGCATATCAGATTATAGGTTATCAATGTGTTCTCTTCTTTCCTGATTTTGTTACTTTATATAATTTAAAAGGAATACTTTAAACTGTGTTTTTATTTAAATAGGTGCAATAAAATCCTTTTGTCAGTTTCCTCATTACAAGAAGATCTTCCATGTCCACTAAATTCAACTTTTACTTTACCTATTCGAAGTAATGTCTACATAGAAGACATAAGTTTTATGCATAGTTATATATATTCATAGGATTTCAGGTTACATAGGACTGTCATTAAAACAGCACTAGAGAACACGTGATCATCCAGATGTTGTGTAGCATCATTCCCATCATCCCTTATTCTTGGCTGGGCTTGCTCTGGTTGATTAGAGGTGCAGTCCAACAATATCCAAAAGATCCCATATTCCCCATCCCAATGCAGTCAGCCCTCTATAATCTATGGATTCTGCACCTACAGATGCAACCATCCACAGCTTGAAAACATATTTTTTAATTTCAAAATCAAATCTTGATTTTGCCATTTTATATAAGGGACATCATTTTTATTACACCTTTGTATATAAAGGGACTTGAGCATCCACAGATTTTGGTAGCCATGGGGATCCTGGAACTGAACCCCACCAGATGCCAAGGATCCACTGTATAAAAGCAATAACCCTTCCCTGCTTCAGACCAGTCTTGATATTAGTTCATATACCATGTTTTCATTAGGAAAAGGTTTCACCAACAATTCTCTGCCATCTCTTTCTCCTCATCAGAGATTTTATTTATTTATTTATTTAATATTAGTTCCATGTCTGTCATTCATTTGACCTTCTTGGATGAGAACCTAGTACAAAAATGCTGGATACCTTTCATGCCTGCTATTAATTTAACCTACTTTAATGTGGATCTAAGTATTAAAAATCACCTCCATAAAGCAGGATGAGGAAAATTGTCACCTATGGTCATGAGGAATCTCTTCTTTTATAACTGGTTCACCCTGCCACACCTGAGTCTGAACTGACAATGAACAATCTTCAAGAAAGATCAAACATTTCCCTGTTTGTAACTCTTCAGATCGCAAGGACATAAGCATTTGTGAAGATATCTACATATCTATAATTAGAGCAAGCCTATTGCATCAATGAGATTTATATAAGTGTTGACTTAGCAAGTTCCCATTGCTCTAACTGGATTGAGCAGTCAGATTTAGTGCATAGGTGTATCCATGATATATAAGAAACACTCTAGATACAGAAAACTGAATATAGACAAAGGGGGTCTGACAAGTAGCCTTCTTTCTCACATGTAAACTTTCTCTGCATAATGATATTTATTCCAGCACTGGTGGAATTTAATAATGTGACATTCACCACCAAGTGGTGGAAGTTGTACAGGTACAGTTTTGTCATCTGATTTCCAGTGTCTGCAGACCAGGCTACTTTTGCTAAAGTTGTTGAGCAGTATGAAATAACTCTACTCTCAAGAATGCACAGCAACATTTGTGGAGCATCTGTATAACTTCAGGTGAGAACATCATATTTGTCTGTAGCTTCTTCCAAAATTGTGTTCGACAGGACTTATTCCCAGGTAAGTGAGTATATAAAAGGCCAGCCTGAGTTGTTTGACTCTAACATAGAGTAACTTCTGCCAGCTCTATTTATGAATGGGTGGTCACATAACAGGATTTCACCTAGAGGAGAGCAAATAGATTATAGCAAATAATGTAATTGTCTCTATACCCATATGTCCTAATGGCAGCAGATCCCATCTGATCTTGGAAGCTAAGCAAGGTCAGCCCTGGTTAGTACTTGGATAGGAGACTGTCAATTAATACCAGGAGCTGTAAGCTATATTTCAGAGGAAGGAACTGGCAAAACCATCTCTGAGTATTCTTTGCCAAAGAAAAGCTTATAAATCCATGGGGTCACCACAAGTTGACAGGCGACTTAAAGGCACACACACACACTAGTGGCTAAGTCTTTCATCTCCTTGCAATAGATACCATATCTTTTCAATCTGGTCTGATTATTTTTTCATGAATTACTCTGTGCATCCTGCAAATTGATATGCAGTATTCAGATATGAATTGTGTGCAGGTTTGTGATCACTCAAGCACAGGAAGAGCCATTCCTTCCCTCCAATGTGACCTCAGCATATTATTATTATTATTATTATCATCATCATCATCATCATCATCATCATCTATTTATTTATTTATAACCTGCTTTATTCCCAACATTGGGATTCAAAATGGCTCACAGTTTAAAATCACAGCACTACTAACAATGTACAAAAGTGACAATTAAAATAAAATTAAACTATTACAATATTAAATGAGTGATGAGAGGGTGCAGGTAGAGGGATCCAACTGGAGCTGCTGGCCTACAGAAGAAGCACAGTACAGTAGCAACAGAGCCACAGAGGCTGGAAAATATACTTTTTGAACTATAACTTCCAAAATCTCATGGCCACTTGCTATGCTGGTGAGGAATTGCAGGAGCTGCAACCTCAAATAATAGCATGTTCAGACTTTGGGAATGGGATAGGAAGTAAGCACTCGCCATGAATAGCTTTGCTACTAGGAGTTAACCTGCCACACTTATGGCAACTCTGTCATGGGGTTTTCTTGGCAGGATTTGTTCAGGGGGGGGAGGGGTTACCATTGCCTTCACCTGAAGCTGAGAGAGTGTGACTTGCTCAAGACCACTCAATGGATTTCTCTGGCTCAATGGGGATCTGAACCCTAGTCTCCAGAGTCTTAGTCCAGCACTCAAACCATAACACAATGCTGGCTCTCAGTCTGATGCTGAGTGATCCATTCTGTGGAAGTTTGACCAGAGGGAACCTGACGTGGTGAACAGCTCCTACAGACCCCAGCAACCAGTGCCCACCCATCTAGAAAACACACATGATGAACATCTGAGTTCCCTTTCACTAAATCCATCAAGCTTGCCATGAGTGAAAATGCTTCCAAGTCATTGCTGCCAAGTTATAACCATTAGCTTTAGAGCCATTGAATCAATTGCTGAATGATATATCAATATATATATATATAAGCCAGCATGGAGTAGTGGTTTCAGTGTTGAACTATGACTCTGGAGACCAGGGTTCATATCCCGGCTTGGCCTTGTAAACCCACTGGGTGACCTTGGGCATATCACACTCTCTCAGCCTCAGAAGATGGCAATGGAAAGCCCTCTGAAGAAACTTGCCAAGAAAACTCCATGATAGGGACATCTTAGGGTCACCATAAGTCAGGAAAGACTTGAAGGCCCATGAAAACAACAATAAATCAACATGTATGCAAATACCATTGATTCAGTGGGTCTACTCTGGCTGAG